AGAAACTACTTTGAAGATATCAGTAAGTAATACAACAACCATGGTTAATTTTCTACAACTTTGTCTGTAACTGTTTTGTTTGTTTTGTTCTTATGCTATTTTGTAACTGGATGTCTGTCTGTTAATGTTTTCCTTCTTTTATTTTTTAAAATAAAAAAAAATTTTAAAGAATGAAATAACCTAGGCACACAATAACAAATAGAGCATGATGTCATTTGCATATGTCATTTTGAAAAGCAAATACATAAAAGTAGGGAGTGGAAGCATCATCATTAGAAGCTGAGTGAAAATGAGCAAAGGAGAGATAACGGTGAAAGGGTATGAAAGTTTCAGGTAGACAAAGGAAACTTTCTCAAGATGTTTTATTGCACAGATTAATAACTATATTTAAATATAGTTAATTACATATTTTGAAATTGCTAAAATCATGGATTACAAATGTTCTCACCACAAATGATAACTATGTTAGGTAATAGACACATTAATTAGCCTGATTATATCATTTTATAGTATATATAAATCAGATCATCACATTGTATCTCAAAAATATATGATTATTATTTTTCAATTTAAAATAATGTGGTATTTAGCTTTCCATCTCAGTGACAAAAAGTCTGAGATAATCAACTTATAACAAGGAAAGATTTATATTAATGCTCATGAATTCGGAGATTATAATTGTTTGGCCCCATCAATTTGGGCCTGTGGCAAAGCAAAACATTGTGGCAGGGAGTATGTGGTAGAGCATAGCTCTTCACTTAATGACACCAGGAAGCAAAAAGAGGAGAAGGAGTCAGAGTTCTGATATCTCCTTGGAGGGCAACCCCAATCACCTAATATCCTCCAGGGAGGTCACTACCTCTGAAGATTCCACCATCTCCCAACCGTGCCATTGATTGAGGAACAAACCTTCAGCCTTTGAGGGACATTCTTGTTTGGGCTCCTACATATTCCTAACAAAAGCAAAATTCTCCAGGCAACATTCAGGTTTTTGGAGTACTTGACAGAAACCTCTACCTCCTTATCTGTCCAGATTCAGTTATGTTTATGCTTAATTAAGGCTTCCTTCATCCACCTCTTTGTCACCACACACATCTGAACCTCATATTACACCATTCTACCTATCTGAAATCCCCTCCCCTGTTCTTTACTGTAAATATCTGAAAATCTGTATCAAGACTCAGGACAAATAGGAAATTCACCTATGTTAAACCTTTCCTTCTTAATCTCCCTCATGCTGTGTTTTATGATCATGTGTACTTTTCTTACAATTTGATATTTTCTTTTACCTAACCTAATGTTACTTCCTATTCCCCTAATTTGTGTGAAGTTTATCCTTTTTCAGATAGATAATTAGTATCTCAAAGCAATGTCCAGACACTGAGATTCATGTCCAGGCTTTGTGCATGCCCTGACCTCCCAGAGGTCACAGAAACAG